TGCAATGAAAAAAATAACTTACAAACCATTCATCCTGCTTACAATCATCACAAATTCCACATGGTCATGTGATCAGAATTCAGTCGCTTGGCAACAGGCACGTATTTGTCCTAGGGACCTGTGATCACCGCTTGCCACCTTCCCAGGTGGGCCTCTAACAAGCAAAGTTACCAGGGGAACCCAGATCCACTTAACCCTTAATGATCATGTGATTCACTTAACCACAGTGGAAAAATGGTAATAAAATTGGCTATGACTAATTTTATGACTACTTTACATAGCAACAGAAATTCTAATTCCAATTCTAGTTATAAGTAAAGGACTACCTATCCTTAGCATTCCCCCCCACCTTCCAGCAACTCTCAAGGTATGTAAGAGAGATAGGCTTCCTGCAGTCTGGGCATCTTATTACCAAGGAAAAGGTAATAAAAATAAAATAAATCCTGTAGCCCTGTCCTAGCCCTAAAACCCTGAGGTATGTGACTAGAGAAATCAGTGTTCTTTGCTCACTTCCTTTGTGGGATAATCAGAGTAATATGTCCACAGATAAATAAAATCAAATCTTATTTTCAAAAAATGAAAAGAGAAAGCATAAAGACATTTAATTTTAAAAATCAGTAGCAGAGGGGGAAAAATAAAATGCTACTGAACGCACAGTCCTGAAATAAAGCCAGCATTTTAGATAAATGAATAAAGATATAGAAAAGATAAGGCTCTCAGTTTAAGCAGATCCCAAGATGATCCCAATCTTCTCTATTTAGAAATAACTCTAATATAAAGCAATTCCAATTTGCCTGAGATTGCAGAGAAATAATAATCTCCAGAAAGTTAAACAATGATAAAGCGTGGTCAGATTTTAACTTTTTCTCATTCCTGTAGTACAGGGAATAGATGCACTTTGGAACAGATGTTATCTTTGTCCAAATCTGTTACATGGAAAATCCTTTTTTTCAAATTTCAACTTTAATCGAGGTTAAAGGATAATCTTACCTCTCTCTTTATTCCTACTCATCTCGGCATACAGCTTTTTATGTGGGTCCTTCCTGTTCAGAAGTGGTATTCAGCAGGTTCTGACCAGTTCTGGAGAACCGGTAGCAGAAATTTTGAGTAGTTTGGAGAACTGGCAAATATCACCTCTAACTGGCCCCACCCCCATCTATTCTCTTCCTCCCGAGTCCCAGCTATTGGCTGGGTCTTCTTTTGTTGCCCTGCACAGGAGAACAGAGCTGGAAAGCAGGTTAGTGGGGTGGGGAAGGAATGGGATCTTGCAGTATCCTTTCCTTGCCTTTCCCTAGGAATGGGGGAGGGAATGGAGATTTTATAGTATCTGTCACGCCCTGTCACTTCCACCAAGCCATGCCCACCAAGCATGCCCACAGAATAGGTAGTAAATTTTTTTGAATCCCACCGCTGTTCCTGTTGCAGAATTCCCGGAGTTTTCAAAAGAACAGTTTCAAAGTACCAGTATGTAAAATCGGGTCTGCTTTGCTAACGATTCTGTTGACAGCATAGTTGGGTAACTCGTAGGGGGTAGGATCAACTTGGCATTTCCTGGCCACAAGAGACTGGTACAATACATTTCCTACAGTTCCTGGGCATTCTTTTCTTTTCTCCCAAAGAACTATAATATAATGGCATGGGGAGGGACAGAGTGGAGGGACAGAGTTTTGAAACCTGGTCTTTGGAATTGTGGGAAGCCACCTCCCTCCTAAAAGAATGAAATATTTTGAGGAATATGAAAAAGGGCAGATTATTATACTTCCTAAAGGAGAAAGGGAGAAACATGTTCTTAAAAGACAGAAAGCAGACTCAATCTTCCTGCCCTCCCAGCAGATACTGAGGCCAGCTTTTAGAAATGCAGACTTGGTAATCCATTCAAAACAGGATATTTTGAAACAAAGGCAGGTGGTAGTATTAGCCTTCACTCAAGATCCAACACAGGAAAAAGCCATTAAGCTACAATAGGAATTATTGCATCACCCTCAGAAACTTCAACCAAACTTAGGTCAGACAAATACCTAGGATTTGTACTTTGCCTATAGAGCCAGCTATAACCCCGACATAAACCTTACATGGCCCCATGGGAGCCTGACAACAGCCAATAGAATACATGTTCTTGCACAGGAACAGGTAGCTCAAGTGCAAAGCCCAAGAGAAGGTATAAAAAAAACCCTGTCAACTCAGAGGTGGTATTCTGGAGAATGGGTAGCGGAAATTTTGAGTAGTTCGGAGAACTGGCAAATACCACCTCTGACTGGCCCCGCCCCCATCTATTCTCTGCCTCCCGAGTCCCAGCTGATTGGCTGGGTCTTCTTTTGTTGCCCTGCACAGGAGAACGGAGCTGGAAAGCAGGTTAGTGGGGTGGGGAGGGAATGGGGATTTTGCAGTATCCTTCCCTTGCCATGCCCACCAAGCCATGCCCACAGAACTGGTAGTAAAAAATTTTGAATCCAACCACAGTGTCAACTCCATGTGGTCAGCTGCACCAGAACGACGAACATGTGGCCCTGTTCATCAATAAATGGACCCTCTTTTCAATCATCCTCCAGTCTTCATTTTGTCTCCAGTGCCTTTATCCTCCTTGGAAGTGAACCAGATGTATATTTCTTCCCACAGAATGATAGGTAAAGCAGAAAAACTCAAATGTAGTCATCTTTCAAAATTTGCGAAAATGGATCTCAGTGATTTGTGTGTGTGTGTGTGTGTGTGTGTGTGTGTGTGTGTGTGTGGTAACATCCCATGAGGTTCTCTTTGTGGTCCATCACATTCACTGCTTTTTGTATTGTCAACTTCTGTCAATAGTAATGAAGGGAATAGAAATAATAAATAAAGAAATGTAGTAAAATATATTATAGCATTAAGTCAGGGGTGGGATTCAACCAGTGTTACTACCGGTTCGGTACTTATGTTTTGCTCCATAGGTTTATCTTTCTTGCTCACATTCTATATATTACCTCTTTGTGCTTTCCTTCCAGAGCAAAGGTCTGAAGCAAGCACATATACCAGAAGCTTTTGATTCATCTGGGAATTTCCAAGAGGCAAAGACTAGAAGAGAGAAATTCTACAGACATTCCAACTCCCCAGGATATTCTGTTATCATGTTTACGTGATACCCTAAACTAGGGGTCCCCAATCCCTGGGCCATGGCCCACTAGTGGATCTTGAGGTATTTACAACCAGGCCACGGAAATGGCGGGCAAGCACACACATGCATCCCCGCTTGTGCTAGCAGTGGGTGAGCATGTGCATGCGGGTGCCATTTGTGTGAGTGGCATGCACGTTGCTTGTGCAAATGGAGCTGGAATCATCCCCACACATACACACTCCACCAGTCTACAAGGCTGGAAAGGTTGGGGAACTCTCCTCTAAACCCGGGGTCTCTAACCTTGGCAACTTTAAGACTTGTGGACTTCAGTTCCCAGAATTCCTCAGCCAGCAAAGCTAAACCACCTCTAAACCATTCAGAGATTGGGTTTACTGCTCTAAATCTGGAAATATAACCTTGTAAATAGATGAAATGCCATTAAGCATTTTTTTTCTTGGAAAAGCAGCTGAGCATAACTTGGTATGTTGCTTGAACCCAGACTATTGATCAGCTTATGATAAAGTAGCAATTAGTCCCCCAAGAAATCAGCACAGGCTGAAGCAGTTACAGAGCTATCTTTGCTGCAGAATTTGCTCTGCTCTGCTCTGGTTTTGCAGCCCCTGCAAAGCTATGGGAATTTCTTTTGGAATAAAGGGGATAAGGTGAGATTGACTTTCCCTTTTTATGCATCTCCCTATCCCTGGAATCAAAGTGGACTATCCCAGACATTTAGCTGCTTGTAAAATACATTTTTAAAAATACTTTAAAGTTGTAAAAGGGTACTAGTTCATTTTTTCTGGGTAAGTGTCCTTAACCATGGTTAACACTGAATCATACATAAAACAAAGGTTGCCACTAATTTCAAAAGTATGTATTCCTTGTCTTTAGGTTGAGGTGAGTCTTCATGCATGATTTACTGTAACTGCAGACCATAATATTCTGACATAAATAAAAACCACAAATCAATGACCAACAAGCACAAAATAAAATGTCTATAAGCATACTCTTCAGCCATAGAATAAACATCTAAATTGAATCACTGGTTTGTTTCAGATGCATGCAGATTTTCTGGACATGTGATATAATTCCCAAGCAGTTAAATGTTTCAACACATTGTAACATTAAGATCTCAATTGACAATTGTATTTAAAAGTCACCATCTGTGAACATTTATTTTATTCCTTCATTTAAAAATAAAAAAAGCTTTGATTTTAAAGATCACATACTCATCAAGTGACTCTGGACAGCTGACAGAGAAATAAAAACAAACTGCAGAAGCAACATACCAAACCCCAGGCCAGTAACCCAAATCACACAATCAGATGGTGTTATGCAACATCAGGGCATAAGGCCTGAGGGAACAGCCAGTTTAAGGCTCATCCTTTGCATTCTTAATCTCAGCTATGAGTGATTTTCATTTAAGAGTTTTATCCTCTTGTAGTCTCTTTTGGTCTTATGTTGCACAAGTTAACACTCCAGCAGTTTCCCATTGCTTCTTCTGTCAGACACAATTGCTGCACAAACTAATACTTCGTAATTGGAAGAAGCATTCGGGTTCACACATCAGTTATAATGGGGCTTAGTATGTTATGTGATTGTGCTTTATACTTTATTTCCTCCAACTGTTGCTCCTTTCTCCATCAATTGCAGTTCCTGGAAAAGGAGAAGGGACACCATATTTTTAGATTTGGGAACCAACTTTTACCCTAAAAGAGCAAAAGTCGAGCCGATAAACGACCCCATCTCTGTGTTGCAAAAAGACAATCGACTCCCCGTTTATTTAGGGATCGTCCTTTTCCCAGGCACATTCCAGTGTCCGAGACTGCCCAAAAGATTGCTTTTGATTCCCGCTAAACAGAGGCCAACTTAGTCTCGGAGACAAGGAACAAGACAAGTCTAAGCCCTTTCTCCCTTCCTGCCCCTTTAAGAAGGCTGGTCCAGAGGCCAGCTAGTGGAGCGTGACTCGTCAACTTTTGCCGAGCTTTGCTTTGTGCAGATGCTAGAGAATCTGTTCGATCAATCGCTCTCTGCTTTGGTTGTGTGCCTTGACTTGCAGCTTTTCCGACAGTGAGTATCCCCACGGTTCTGTTCCGCTGGCCTGGTTCTCCTTCCCTTCCTGGGGTGATGGTGGGCACGCGAGATGCAATGGGGGCTCCCATCTCCTGGCAGAATTAAACGCCTCCGTCGCCGTTTTATTATCTCCAGCGGGTGCTGCGGTAACTGTCCTGCTTCCTTCCCGTATTTTTTTTTCCCTTCCCTCCTAGTGCCTGGCGAGTACACCCTCACCTATTTCCCTGTGCGAGGTGAGTACTAAGAAACGCGTCTCGGGTGGGGAGGGCTTTTTAAAATAACAGGAAGGAGAGCCAGTAGGACGAAGCTTGCAATATTCTTCAATCCGGAGAGCTCTTTCTTTCTAAGCTCGCAAAGGTGTTTTTGATTTGCAGCAATTGCTCTATTCCTGCAGCTAAACATGTCTTCCAGTTTTCAAAAAGTCGCCTTTGCTGGTTTCCTCCTGCAAAACAGAGTGCCGTTTTTACTTTCCGATCACTTTGATCATCTGTTGGGGGTTTATACTGTGCTGTTGCCAGGATGTGGAGAATTCTGGCTGGCTTTGTTGCATCCCAGTTGATGAGCTTGAAGCCTTATTTTGCCACCTTCTGAGCTGCCCACTGTTCTTAACCTGACAGAGTTCCATGGAAGAAGTTTATTCATCCTGCCTTTATTACCTATTTATATAAGTAACTCAAGGCAGCAAACAGAACTAATACTCCTTTCTCCTCCTATTTTTTCTCACACAACAACAATCCTATGAGGGGTGGTTGGGCTTGAGAGAGCTAGTAACTGGCCCAAAGTCACCCAACCAGCTTTCTAACCTAATGTGAGACTAGAACTCACAGTTTCTGGCTTTCTAGTCTGATGCCTTCGCCACTAGACTGCTTTATTTTTTTTTTTTAAAACAAGTTTTATTAATTTTTAAAACACACAAATTATCATTATTCATTACATGTTTAAACCTTTTTCCCTTGTAAATTTAACAAGTCAGATAAATTATAATTCTGTTTTAAACCATTTCCATATAATATACCAAAACCTCTTATTCAATTTCTCTTTACTTCTCTTTACTCTTATTCAATATCATTATTATTATTTCATCTGTTTCTTTCTGACTTAGTTACCATTATTCTCATTCTATATTTCTACAAGTTTTTACCAATTCTCCCCCCAAAAAAGACATATACACACAACACACAAAACATAAAAAAAAAAATATCTTTTTGGAAAGTAACTTGGACCCAGGTGTCTCTCTCTTCATGGACTTCAATTATATTCATGCTCATCTTACATATCATTACTTATTTTATTTACCATTCTAAGCCTTCTATATTAACTTCTCCACATATTTCACACTTCTTAATTCTACCTTAATTAATCATCTTAGTTTAAATCATTATATTTGTATCTTTTGTCCATTTTTTATCATCCCTTTGTCTCATCCCTTATGAAAAAAAAGAAAATCAGTTTCTCCTGAAATCATTAATCAGAGTATGATGCCTTTCTATCTCCCCCCTAAGTTAATCAAATTAATCTTTAAAATAATATCTAATACCCAATCAGATTTTGCTTGGTACATTCTATCTAACTAATACATCCAACACAATTAAGTGCATAATTAGAGAATAAATCCAAATATTAAAAAGAAATACTATAATAAAAATTTTATAATAACATCAATACCATAATTTTATTAAACTCTTTAATTAAAACAATATTCTAAACCTCTCCTATTATTAAGTTTTAAAGCCAATCATTTTTAAACATTTTAACATTTTAATCTCTTATCAACTCTTAAACCATTGCAATACTACCATCTCATCTTATGTACCTTGCAAAATCTTTTTTTTTTTTTAAAAAAAATTATACTTTATCCATTATCCATAAAAAATTCCTTTTTTCCATTTAATTTCAAAACGTTGTAGCTTTTCTCCACCTTTTCCCTTTCTTTCTTTTCCCAACAAACCTTTCTACCCCCCCCTTCTTCTAGCCTCTGCCTTACCGGCTTCCCTTCTCTGTCGTATTTCTTTTCCCCTTTGTTTACAATCATCATATTGGTTTTGCACTTTATTTTTCCCTTTCTTAAATGTTTTTTTAGATCTTAAGTCCTTAAATCCTTTAGTTTTCTTCTTTTCTCTTCTTTTCTTTTCTTTCTCTCTTCCTTTTTTCTGGATCAAATTCTGAGATTCATTAAAGATGGCTCCTTCCTTTCTTTCTTGTTCCTCTGCTGTCTTCATCTGTTGTAATTTTTGTTGATAATTAGTAAGCGCCATTTCTAAGAAAAGGAAAGCTTCTTCCACACCATTTCTTAGTTCCTCAACAGAAAGAGCCATTATAAATCTTTTCTTTTCTTTTCTCCTTCTTTCTTCTTACAACAACCAGAATATTCAAAAGAAAATAAAAAAGATAAAACAGTCCCAAAGTTATCAATCAGTCCAAACCAAGGCAGAGTTCTCACTTTCTCCTTCTGGGGTGATATCAATCAAAGAGAAAGAAAGTCCAAATCTGTTTAAAGTCTTGTTACAATATATTCTAGTCTTCAAATCCTTAAGGCATCTGCTCCAACAAATCTTAGCATACAAATATTTTCTTTTTAATCCTCTCTCTTCCCACTCATCGCTTAAAACCAATTTCCACCTAAAAAAATAGGTTTCTTAATATCCAGTTATTTATTCCGTAGGAAAAGAGGGAAAGCTATCCTTTCAGCACCTTCAAGCAGCCGCTTTTTTCCTCTTCTGGCAGGTATTATTCAGAAAGTCATACTTTTCCGGATTATTAAATATGTCTTAGAGTCCTAGGAGCCAAGAAAAACTTTCTCCTCTCAATCACTTTCTCCACTTCCTCCTGCGCATTCTTACCCGGCTGCCAGCTTCTTTGTGGCGGCCATTACGGACCGCCGCTGCACCGTCCTGGGAAAAGGGGGTTCTGCCGGCCAGGGAGGGGGTCTGCAGCACCCCCAAACCCTTCTCCGGATCCCCCCTACCTTCAGCTGCCCCTGCAGGGCAGCCTAGCTCCGTACCCGGCTGGGTCGGAGCCCCAAAAACGGCTAGCGCGGCAGGGATCGCGCAGCTTCGCAAATCCCTGCCGCTCGCGAAGCCGACAAACCGGGAGTCCCGCCACTAGACTGCTTTAATGGCAGCACGAGAAGTCCCTATAAATACACAGGACAAAAAAAGTCAACATTATTTGCTGCAAAAGAAAGTGTGTGAGGAGGAATTATATCAGAGTCCCTTTTGTAGTTGGACAAATGCACATGTATTTACTCATTATTCAAATATAACAGTAACATTTAGTTATTTAATCCTGCTAATATTCATAGCACTATATGAAACACTTTCATAGACTACCCTGAATATTAACAGTAATATATTTCAGAACAAAGAACATTTTTAGTTTAGGAAAAGGAGTTTTTAGTTACATTAAGTGCTGGCAGAAAAATGAAACAGTGTAAAGCATACATTCTGAACAGCAGTAAAACTGTTCAGATAATAATCGAAGGAACACTGAAAAACCTTTTCTCTCCATTTCCTCATCCATTTTTATTCAAGGTCTGTCAAGAATTCTTCTTTTGCTGTTTGATCTAGATTGGTCTTAGATTTCTGGAAAATGAAAAAAAATTAGCACCCACCCATGAATTTTTTACCATTTTTCCATAGAAAAAAGTTTATATTCATCAAACTGAATATAGATAGGGGAAAAAATGCAGAAATATTTTTTTATTTTGCAGAGCATTTCTTTATTGAGAAGTATGGCCCCCTCGTTCCTGCTGAGCTAACTAGGATTTGCTACAATCAGTTGTTTTTTTACATTCCATATTCATATAGGAAGAATGGGTTCTTTATTCATTGGAGCTTCCAGTATTTATTTTAAAATGCCTTTATTATAAAAACAGGGGGGGATCTACAATCAGATAGAAAAAAATAACTCAAAAATTAATAGAAAGAAAATGTTGTTCAGAGTTAAAATTGAAGGCTCTGAGCTTGGTTGTTTTCTTGCAGATATTTCATTACCTGCTGCTGATGGCATGGATGATGTTACCTAGTTTGGGTAATTAAACATCTGCACAAAAACAACCAAGCTCAGAGAGCACCAAGGATCCCTCAAAGAAAAATATTTTTGATTTAAATGTATACAAACAAAAAGCTCAAATTACAAATTACATCTTAACCACCCGGAGAAATATTGTTTAAATTTTGACCAATGCTGATAAAAATCCAACTCCTATTCAGAAATTGAGTACATATCTTCCATGCAGGTCTCTAAATCAGTTGTAATTGTTTAGCAGTTGACATATTTAAATGCTTTTCTACCCACATTCAAACAACTCCAAAACATGTAAGTTAATGTTCAAAATATTACCGGTATGTTTCCAACTTAGGGAGGTTAAACCCAACTTTTACTACATGGTCTCTGAAGTACTCTAATACACATGAAAATAATATCAATGTAATCCATTAATTTGTTAAAATAAAATATCCCATTGTTGCTTGCTTTTATTAACAGCTTTTGTACACCTGCTCAATCTAACCAACTCTGGGTAATGTACATGAGCAAGCCAATACAAAATATATCAACAAAAATTAGCTTAAAAACACAATAAATTAATGACATAAAAACAGGTAAGCATTCTAATCACTGTAGAGCCCATGGGTTATAATTTATGTTCAATGTTACCAAAGTGATTGGGGAGAAGATAGAATAACCCTGAGGGAAATGGCTACTGTTATTCAGTAGTTATTGAGCTAGGTATTGAGCTAAGAATCAGAGATAGTTCACCATTATCTGAAGATTTTTCTGTCTCTAGATTTTTTTGAGTGTACATCACCACCAAAACATGTTGTTTCATTTAAGCCATTTTCTCAGGTTTTATTTACTGCACAATAGTTAGGGTCTATCTACCACCATGAGTAACTTGGCTCTTGTGACTTCATGGACATATTCTTGAAAGCAATAGATACGGTAAGTGTTTTGCCACTGCTACTTCTGGGATAGTTTTTGCCATACCAATCCTGGTTTTCCTTAGAGGACTCCCACCTAAGTATTAACCAAGTGTGACACTTTTCCTGAGGTCACCTTAGCTATGATTTGGAAGATGGTGTATTTTAGTCCGAGAGAGTTGGCTGCCATGAGAGGTAAAAGCCTTGTAGTGACCAATCCCTTAACTGTTGTTGTTTGCTTGCTTAGCTGGTATTAAGCTCCATTGAGCAACTGTAAAATGACTGAGCTGTAAGCTATCTACAGCTGCTCTTGGAGAGTAGTCATGTCTTGACTCTGACCATTTCTCCAGCAGGAGGGAGTCTTGGACTTAGAATGAATGCCTCATTTTATGACAGTACATAAAAATGTACTTATTCAAATCCCAACAGCAACATTTTCTTTGGGAACACTTCACTCTGTCATACTTTACATTTCAATCTGCTGCTCTCATTTTTCTATTGGAACACTATTATTTTAAAGAAATATCTGGAGTTCCAAGGATGAAGAAGCAGCCTGGCCAATGGATAATGCGCTACATGAAATACTCCACGAGAAAAGTATAAAACACAACATTTTATCATTATCAATAGAATAAATTATTTGCTCTTCAGAACTGAACTATGGGGTCCTTGGTACTCTTTGGTTGTTGTCTTGCAGACATTTCATTACCGAACTATGTAACATCATCAGTGCTAGTAGGGAGTGGGGTTTACTTTCATTCTATATACTAGTGGCTTGCCCTGTTAGTGTTGGTGGGAGTGGCCTTGGTGGTTCCTTAATTGGGCTGTTTACTGTTAGCTTGTTGGCAGTGTAAAAACATTGCTGTATGCCCTTCCCCTGAATCTACTGAGGTTGAATTCAAGAGGCCATAGAAAGCTTCTGTAATATCCTTCACGGATAACTTCCTTCCATTCCAATATTTGACTCAAGAATGCAACTGCCTCATTTTCTGACAAGTTTCTCTGATTATTATATGAATCAGTTTTGTTAATTTCATTCCCTACCATTTCTTTGGCAAATGTCACCTTTCCTTCTGCTCTATTGCAGTGGCAATTAGGTTTTCTTGAAAATGCTGCTTCTCATCACAGAACATGCAAAACCAAAACATGAGGGTTGAGTGGGTAACTCAGCATTCTGTTAATCCAAATAACCATACTTAAAAATTATGGTTCGGTGTGCTCGATAAATATTGCCACTAGGTTACATTTGGAATTTTTTGTCTCAGGCCGTGGAGAAGCCATACGCATGCTGCTGGCTGATCAGGGACAGGAGTGGACTGAGGATGTGGTGAATGGGGAGATTTGGAAGAAGGGAGATCTGAAGAAATTATGTGTGAGTAAAGCTGCCTTTGAGATACATTTTGTTTTATAGGTTTAGAAGGTAAATCCTTCTGCAAAATGAGCTCTTTCATGCATTCCAGCTCTCAATGTTATAATTTCATTAACCAGATTTCTGTCTTAGGGTGTGCAGCTTGTGGCTCACCAGTTAGTTTACAAATTTCATTAACTTTGCTATTTGCAATACTAACTGGGTCTTGGAGGATGCATTATTCAGCAATATCTTTACTTTCTTGGAAATACATTAGAAAAGTCCATCACTAACCATTTTCCCCTAATTTCTTCTCTTCCAGGCCTTTGGCCAAGTGCCGAGATTCCAGGATGGGAATTTTATATTGCATCAGTCAAATGCTATTCTACGCCACTTGGCCAGGAATCACGGTAGGATATGTGGGCAAATCTGTGGGCATGTAGCCTTTTGGGGCTAGAGCATTTGTGTCTACATATACGTTTATGTGTATATTGCGGATGGTAGAAAAATGCAGTTTTAGTTATCAGTTAACTAATATTTAGTTATTAGACCTGGCCACTTTCTTTCCCTCCTCTTAGGACTCTATGGTGAAGATGCAAAGGAAGCAGCACTGCTGGATATGGTGAATGATGGGGTGGAGGATCTGCGAATCAAATATGCCCGCTTAATCTACCAGAACTATGTAAGATGGATTATAGGAGAACTTAGTTTTATTTTTAGCTGCTTGATGGAGAGATCACTCCCCTATTTAATGATGTCTTGGTTTCTCTGAGAACCAACAGGCTGATCAAATCATGGGCTTTTCTAACAGAAGAGGTGGTTTTTACTGGGAAAAGTTAATTTAGGTTTCAATCTAAAAAATGTAACAGTAAACCTGATTAATTTAGTTCAGCTGAACTTTTTACCCCACTGCAGATGATAAAGCTTTAACCAAAAGGGTTCCAGTAAAAGTGTCAGTGACGTTGTCTCCACAGTCTCATTTGGTTCCCACTAGCCAGAAGACATGCCTGGGAAGTTTCCTACTAAAAAGCAGCAGTAGCATCTAGGTTCTCTGCCTGATTGCAGTGAATTCTTTTAGGGGATTCCCCACTGTCTGAGCGGAATGTCTGCCAAATAATTAAAAAGGGAGAGGAAGGATGATGGAACTAGAAGTAACAATATCACCTAGTGGTATTAAATATTAAAGTACCAGGCTAGAGGAGATTGTGAGTTCTAGCCCTGCCTCGGCCATGAGAACCAACTGGATGACTTTGGGCCAGCCACTCACTGTCAGCCTATCACTTGTTATTGTGAGGGAAATAGGAGGAAGATGTTCTGGATAGGCCAGCCACCTTGAGTTATTTGTAAAAATAAAGGCGGGATATAAATAAATAAAACAGAATGGGTGCCTGCATGACTCAGAGAGGTTGGATCACTTGTGCTGGACTGACTGTCCTGGTGGGAGAGGATGTGGAGGAGGCCGCAATATTTGGAAACTATCCATTGGGCCTACAAAGAACAAAACAGCAACAAATTATTTCCCGCTCCAGAAGTAAGAGTGATTGCTGCATAGGCTGGATTGTTATTGTTGGTAATATAGGTATGATACTGCTGATGCTGAGAACGGAAACTGGGCTGGAGCTGCAGCCAGGTTTTCTCCTGTCGGAGGTTTTGGAAGAACCTGGGGGCAGTGTACTCTTGAGCCTCGGCAACAGGTTGGTTATCAAGTATAACAATAGGCAGCACATCATCTAGAAAAGGCAGGACAAGGGCAAATGGCACATGAGAACCAATGATTAGCAAGATAGATTTGGATTAATCAGAAACCCCAATCAGAGAATCTTTGAATGCTAAGTGGCAGAGTGCAGTGGTGGTAATCTACTGGTTCGGGCCTGTTCAGGCGAACCAGTAGTAAAAAAAAAAAAAAAAGCTACCGGTTCGGCTGAACCGGTATTTCTTCCTTTCCTCCTGACGATCAGCTGTTCCGATGATCAGCTGTGTCGGGATCCCCCTTGCTGTCTTACTGCTTCGCCCAGGAGGCTTCCCTGAGGCGCAGGAGGCAAAAAAAAAGGAGTGCAGAGGGGGGGTGCTGCAAAAAAAAAAAAAAAAGCCACACCCACCCAATTATATGGCCACTCCCACCTGGCCACACCCACAGAACTGGCAGTAAAAATATTTGCATCCCACCATGGTGGAGTTGTCCATTAAAAGGGAAAATGTGTATTTTATGAAGAGTATGGACTCAGCCCAGTGACTATTGAATGCTAGCTGCTATTATATTGGAAGTAAAAGCTAGATTTATTAAGAAATTAATGAAGATTAGAAAAGCCACCTACCTACAGTGGTCTTGGACAGAGAGAGAAAATTATCATTGTTGGTTGAACACAAAGACTGATGATGAGATCTGTTTCTCCATTTACCATGGGCTCGTAGGTGTAAAGAGATCATGCAATCCCCAACAATCAAACTCTTTAAAAAAAACACAAGGGGCTTGAATTATTCCCCTCCCCCAATAACAAGGGCTTAAGCAAACTGCTCAGGATAATTGAATCCTTCATTCTGCAATATTGGTTGAAATGTCTTGGTGTATTCCTTTCACCCTAATTCTTCTCCTGGGAGGGAAAGGCAGACCTGGTGGAGGAAAGAGCTGACTGTTTTTCTTTCACAGGAATCTGGCAAAGCTGCTTACATTGAGGCCCTGCCAGCTGAGCTGGCCCCTTTTGAGAAGCTCTTGGCTCAGAATGATGGAGGGAAAGGCTTCATTGTAGGCAAACAGGTAATCAAACCATCACAGCTTCCTGTCTAAGACAGAAATCTGGGCTGGCCATTAATGGCCTTCCGGAGATGGAGGCAATTACACTGGGGTAAAATTCATACATTGTTGTTAATGAGTACTCATTGTTAATAAAATCACTGCGATTTACTGTATTACAGCCACAACCGTCTGGTTCATGCCAGCTATTAAATCAAAGCTAAAGCAATCAAGTATTGCTAATGTGCTAACAGCAGGCTTCTGCTTTGTCTTGTCTATATTAATCTTGATTTTAGATAAAGAAGGAATACTGACTTGTCCTTATTGTATAAATTGAGTAATACATTTAGAATCTTAGTTCTACTTCCAGTTGATAGTGTCCCCTAAAACTCAAGAAAGCGGCTTCTTTTAAAAAGAAAAATCAAGATTTTTCTGACAGGGTTTTGTACTGTGGTCTGTGCTTTCCTGCAGTCCCACAGAATTGTTATAAAAATAAGGTCAAAAAGCCCCCCCATGTGCTTACTTTTCAAAGCCTTTACCATAGAAGGTCCTATCAAGTTTGGCGTTTTCTTCTGTGCCATAAAGCAACATGCTGCATCAATGTATGTATTTCTACTTTCCCTCATGTTGTGTATGTGTGAATGAGCAACATTGAGGAGGTTGATTTGCTGGTGCTGAATCATTCCCTCCTGCCCATACAACATCCCTGCCAGAGCTCCTGGGAGAGGGGGGGGGGTGTTTCCTAGATTTGTGGTGCTGAGGAATTTTTAACATGGCTTCCCTTATTGAGTGGTCTATGCAGACCAAGAGTTCATGGCTACCATGGATGTTGCCAACTTACTGAGAAGCCGACATGCATAAAGGTGATATGTTGGGGTAGATATGAAATGGTTTGAAGTGAGGGGCATTGACTCCATCCCTTATCATGGACATATCATTCTCTGGTTGCTATGGAGTTTCACTGTATATCCCTCCCCCTCACATTTTCCTTCCTGTGGGGAAGACATCCAGCTTAACGAGTCCAGATGATTTTTAAAGGGCAACTGGGGAGTTTCCCATGAGCAGGGTGGATCATTTGGTTGAAACCCTGGTTTCCCAGTTAAATAAGGTGGCTGTAGCACTTGATCAGAGTGCACTGGAATGGCCATCCCTCTCACACATCCTTGGTAGACCAAGGCGCTCCTGGAGATGAAGCAGCAAAGGAAAACCCATCTTAAGTCTTAAGTATATAAGATCTCATATTCAAGCTTACAGTATGGGCATAAGGGCAGCAAAAAGATCATACTGTATTTTGCTGCCTTCATTTGTCCATTGAATGCCACCCAGCAGCCCTTTTTTTGAGTTGCTTTAAAAAGCAACCTTCAGGTATGGGTAAAATACAAATAGAGTAAATGCATAAATATGCTCCACTTGGAATCATCAATGCATTGTGAGTGACTGCCAGATTGCCCCCACACACAGATGGGGATTTTTTTTTCCTTAAATATTTTTCTCCCTTGACCCCAGCCAAATTCAGTTCATTTTAAAACTTAATTTGGCTAGCTTCTGCACACAACAGATTTAGTTCCATTCTGTTCAGTTTTTGCAGAGTTGTTCTGCTGATGGGTAAGTAGAGATCCAAACCCCTTTATGTGATTTCATCTTAGTATTCCATAATTCTGTAGGTTCCAGGACAGCACAGAACACAGTACCGAAATCCAGTTATATGAGAAATCTCAATTTTTCTTTCTTTTTCTTTTCTTTTAAAAAGCTGCTTTCTTGAGTTTCGAGAAATACTGTCATTTGGAAGTGGAAGAAAATGCCAGCTTTGCCATTATAGATATTTAGCACGTATGGTACAAGTAGTCCTTGAAAGATTTGATATGTATTTAGCGGGTGGGGTGGAACATCTGTGTTTGCTGTTATGTACAAAAATGCAAAACTAAACATGTTTTGCAAAGTTAATGATGTTTTTATTTCCATTGCTCTTCTTTTGCTGTGTGCCACTCTTCTCCAGATTGGCTTTGCAGATTATAATCTGCTCGACATTCTACATGTCCATTTGGTCCTGGCATCCAATTGCCTGGCTTCTTTGCCTTTGCTGGCTGGCTACGTGCAACGCCTTAATGACCGGCCACAACTCAAGAATTTCCTGGAATCAGATGCCCGTAAGAAACGTTTCATCAATGGGAATGGCAAACAGTGAAGCCACTTACTTTTCTAGGATGCAAGTTTGTAGTTTTGTACCTTTGAGATCTAATAAAGCTACCGTAGTTTTTAAAAAGGCCTGTATCACTCTGCTGGGGAAGGAAAATCATGAAAACTATGGACATGGAAGCCTTTTACAGGAAAGATGCTTTTGCACCTGGTTTCTGATTGTACTAGAGTAGCAATAATGCTAAAATCACTTATTAATGGTAATGGTATATACACTTTTTTAAAAGAATAAAATGCAGTTCTGCAAAGACTGATTCATGTGGTGTGGCTATGACACAGGAATAAGAATGTACCATTCACTCATGCTTTTTTCCCATTGGAATCAAAATCCAACAGTTGCATTTTTCTAAGTCAACAGTTCCTCATAAATCAGTCACCCCATTTAAATATATTCTGGCCTCTCTCTCTAGCAGTATATATTTACCTTAGCAGTAATCTGCATGGCTACAGTTCCAAGATTACAGTGTGCACTGCATTTCAGGATTAAAAACTGAAACAGCTGAATTTTTGTTTTTATCTGGGTCTGCTATTGAATTCTACAACAAAATCAAGAAAATATCCTATTAAGTCAGTTTAATTATAATTTCAGGAACCATTTCTAAGGTAACTTATTTTCAGACAGTTGTCTATTAAATAAGTGTTTAAACAGTTTTCTGCCCCCCCCCCCCGCCTCATCAAACATTCTTATCTTTCATAATTTCAACTGGTGCAGTGCCTTAATGCCTAGTCACTTCTCTTTTCTGTGCTGGATCAAGTTATTTCTATTTATTATACATTTAAAATAGGTCATACTGCTCTTCTGTTTGAGATTTTTAGGGTCTTGCCATCTTTATATCTTAATTATATTACCTGTATTTTCATTATATATGTTTATCATACATACCCCATAGGTTAAAATATTCTGAAAATGTATATTTGGAAGAGAAAAAAAGCATTTCTCATAGCAGACTTGTAGCCAGAGGGTTCATTTAATAAACCAGGATATCTGAAGAACCTTCTCACTCAATGGGATTGACTTCTCTATTCATTCTAACATGGGGTGGGCAACTATGCAACTTTTCAACCTGTGGACTTCAATTCTCAGAATTCCTGAGCCAGCCATGGGAGTTGAAGTCCACAATTATAAAGTTGCCATAATTATCCACTCCTGTTTTAGCAGAAGGGGACCAACTGCACACTCCCATCAGCCAAGGAATTTCAGCCGGTGAGGTCTAAAAGAAGAGACTTTTCTGCTGTGGCCCCTGCTCTTTGGAACATCTTGCCAGTGGATGAGATACTCCCCCCCCCTTCCTTCTGGCTTTCTAGAAAGACATTAAAACTTGGTTCTGCTTGTTGGCTTGGGGTCACTCTGGGCTAGAGGTGATTGGTACAATGTGCGTTGTATGGTCATGCCTCACATTCATTGTTCAAAATTGTCCTTTTTGCTTACTTGGTTAGGTATTTGGTTGGTGTTTTTTTCAGCCACACTGCCTGAGATATTGGTAATACAAGCCTCTAGCTTCTTGCTACCCAGGCTAGCAACATGCAAGTAGCAGTATTAGTTCTGAAAGATGGGAATGCTCATAGAACAGAGAAGCTAGGGTTAGGAAGATCAAGTGGAGTTGGAGATACTGCTGTAATGCCTCCTTGCATCTTTTACCTGAAGTAGATACCTTGCTACGTAATGCAGGGATGTCAAACTCACGTTGTCATGGCATCATCACATAACGTATCACAACTCCCCCCCCCCTTGCTAACTGGGCATGGGTGTGGCCAGCGTGTGACACATTTGGGCCCGCAGGCTGCAAGTTTGACAACTTTGGCCTAATGGCTGTGCTGGCCTTTCTTTAAATGAGGATTGGAAAGTTATGTTCCAAGATCTATGTATGATTGATGATCCTTGTTTAGAATTTTGGAGAACTCCCATGCAACTGCTAGGACACTCCAATATAATGGGATCATCCTTCTCAGACCAAGAATCAACAGGATCAGAGAGATCAGTGATGTAATCCTCTTCCTGGCAGAACAGATTAGCAGTTTTCTGAAAACAAGGTAAACTGGCAAACACAAGCCTCAGTGGAACTAATGGAAATGGAGGGATCTGGAATCTGTGGTCCTTTGTATACCAGATACAGACAGAAGCATAATCAGAATATTTCATATTTAAAAAGAAACAATTACAGAAAACAGCTTCTGGAACTATATATTATGTAACTTTAAAATGAAATTGTTTTCTTCTTCTCTTCATGCCATGCCATGATTCTGCAGACTGCAAACTTATGAGCATTTTAAAAATTGATTATACTTACATTCTGAGAATATGTTTGGCTGAAAAGCAGGATAAATACTTACCAATTAACTAAAATAAGTGAATAAAGCAAACCAGTAGAGGACATTTTTGTGAAAAAAGCACTATTATATCATTTTAGAAGATCGGAATATCTAGAATGGCAAGTCCACAAAATTATAAACAATATTGATTAAAACTGGAGACCTCTTAACAACACACAGATTTATATGCTACATATAAATCAGTGGGATTTAAAGCCATTGTATATAGCCCAATGACTAGTTACATAAAATACATACATAATACATATTTGAAGCACTAAACAGCCCATTATTAAAATGACAGAAAAACAGTTTTATTTTTTAAATTGGATAAAATAGCAAATTGCTGTATCTTATTATCTAAGTCATGCCCATTTTATGAACTTTCTTAAAGTACCTGGTTGACTACTGCCCAGCTAATTTCACATATAAAAAATCCAATAGATAATAAATATTCTGTAGGGTTTTATGACCGCAATTATAATCTTACATAACTGTGTAACAATTTCACAAACAGGCTATCAAAAAGTGTACATCAGTCTTCACAGATGGAATCCTAAAATGTATAAAAACTTTGACCTAACCTGACAGGAGAAGCGAGTTAACTGTATGGTTCAAGTTTCACTATGAGTTGCATTCAAAAAACCAAAAGGTTGCAGATGGTTGTGCACAGTTGACTGCAACAACCAAGACTAGATGGAAAAGATGTCTAGTACTTAGTAAAAGATGGTTGATTTTGCTACATACATATTAATTTATTGCAATCTTTTAATTACAAACGTCTGCCTTAAGCATATAGGGCATTAATGTGAAATCTCACTCCTTGTACTGAATAGTCCGATAATTTTTTTTTTAAAAAAGGATCCTAAATATTGTCATACATGTTGCAAACAAATCCGAGGGGAATCTTTACCCTTACAAATATATTTATCAACCACTATGCGCCGCACATATACTGCTTTATGCCACACCCATAACCTCTTGCTCCAAAAAAGCCGAACCTTCGCTGTATAGTCTTGTCATTTATTCAGCAAGGAACACGGATGGGAGATCGCGTGCACTTTTTTGTGAAACTATAATTCCCATGACCCCACACGCCAAAGGAAGTTGCCCGGTCCCTGGTCTTCCGGGAAGAGCGAAGAGAAACATCATGACGTAGTATTATTGCGCCCGACAGGTGAAGGTGACGAGGTTAGGAGCTGCAGCAGGGGAGATTTCCCCCCACTCCTTCGCTCTTCGTTATGTTGGGGGCTCAGTCCTTACGCCTCCGTCCGATTTGCACCCAGGCTCGCTTTTTTTCCGCCGCCGCTGCTCCGGAATCGGTGACTTCTACTTGCCCTTCTTTTCTTTCTTTTTCAACAAGGGAAAGGGGAGAAGGGATGGGGACCTAAACAACTGCAGTAATGGTTCTCAGTTAGCTTGCCGTGGGCTTGTTTCTAGTGTGCCATGAGATTTTTGTCTTATGTTATTTCTTCTTCTTTTTGTATTGTGTATATTCTGTGCAATCCGTATGTGCAGTACAGTGCAGATATTATTAAAATAGTTTTAACTTCTTAAAACATGTCTTACGCGTTTAAAAATATATGCATTTCATAATTTTCCGTTGTGCTAACAGAATTACCGTTTTGTTCAATATTGTGCTGCAGATTCGAAAAAGGATTAAATTAGAGGAATAAGGGAAGGGAGTATGGATGATGGAGATCTCCAAAGTCCTGCTTTTTGGACCTCAGTTCCTCCAACGTGTTTTTTATTTTTAGCATGAAAGCATGTTTTAAAATATATATTTTTGGAGGAAGAGTGCCTTTTTCTTGCCTGTTATGAAGGTTTCTGTGCTTACCTTTTGGAAAGAGATTTATTTGCCCCCCCCCCTTTTTTTTTCCTTTTCTATTTCTGTAGAATAGTTTTCTTCAAAGTTAAAGCTATTTCTTTTTGTTTGACAGGCACCCCCAAAGAAAACTCAGTTTGGTCCTCTCAAAGATGAGGATCGCATTTTTACTAATCTTTATGGACGTCATGATTGGAGGTGAGAAACAAAAATATAGAACTTTTTTTGCTTGACAGGAAAATATAGTTTCCAAATCTTTTTTTAGTTGGGGGGAGGGAGGGGAAGAAGTTATGAAGGAAATGGAGGATTAAACATTTAACTAGTGAATAAATTGTAGGCTGCCAAAAATATTTTTCTACTTATCTAACACTTGTAGTTTACTTAAATACAATAGTAATTATTTTAAATTTCACTAATTCTGTGTATTCATTGGCTGTTAGCAAAATTACTGTCTTGGCAACTAAATTTCTCTGGTATTTTGGCACTGCACAATTTTGTGATTGTGTATTTGTGCAGTTACTACTTTTGAGGTTTTCTGATTATTATAAAGGTAAAGAATGTCAGGATATTGTCCTGTCCTGGCTTCTACTACTTTGCATACAATAGAAAATAGTTAAGAAAAATCCGCAGTGATCTGCTTGGTGTCAGCATGACCATGGATAGAGTGGGAAGCCTTACTCAACCCCACGTCTTTCTCCTTTTTAGTCTCCCTTCTGATTATGGGGGGAGGGAATTAAGAAAAAGAAAGAGATGGAGAGTCAAAGGAAGACCTATTTTTGTTGCATTTCTCTTAGATTTTACCGCTGTTTTAGAATAGCAAAGTGAAGGCTAATGCTTGTTAATTCTGTAACTATCGGTTTTCATACAGAGGCTAAGAAAATAATCAATGAAACATTCTGCCCTTTACTTACTTGTGCTACAAATACCAGAGAACAAGGCTCATGTCATGACATCACAGTGCATGTTTTATCATTTTGTCATTATGGTTAGAAAGGAGGACTCTCAACTCCATCTACAAGAGGAAGATATATTTCCTAATTTCAAACATTTCCAAATTCCCATGTATTTAGATTGCACCTATTGGTACAACTCAAGATAGAATCAAA